GTACCTCGTACCTCTGACGATCTGGGAAATATCTGAAAGAAGAACAAAACTCTTGATTCTCGATCGTGGAGAATGAATTACACTGTATCATGCCACGTAGCAGTATAGTAACTCGCATCCTGTGTCTTGGTCTGTCGCTTAAACGACAGTTCGTTTCGTACGTGTGCGCGCGCGCGTGTGTGTGTGTGTTAGTGTGCGTGAGCGTGTGTGTTTGGGTCGACAAAAAGCGACCACGCGGCACGGTGCAACGCGCAGCGTAGAGAATGCATATTTGATAAAGCATCGCCAATGAGAACCAGCCTGGCCGCATGCACTCTGTAATCTAGCGCGAGAATCACAGCACACTCGCCTTTCCCCTTATAACTCGCCCATTGTTCAACGTGTTAAACATGTAGCCATAGAGCGCGACAAGACGATTTACTAATCTGACGAAAAAAACTGCACGCATGCCGGAGCAGCCACTATTCCAGCCCCCCGCCGGAGAAGGAGCTGTGCGTCGACGGGGAGCATCGAAGTCGAAGGGACATGTCGCCGCAAGGGCGCAAACGAGCCGCCCTCATGATACGAGACCAGCCGGCGTCTATTTCTGGCTATCAGACCTACCGCAAGGTGAGTCTTGCCGCGTCACCTTCGCCGCCTCGCGACCCTCGCGGCGACAAAAAATGAAAATCGCCGAGTTTCGTGAGTTTAACGATCGTTCGACGAACGCAAGGTATCGTGCTTATGTTGTAAATTATTAGTCACGGTTGACAGTGTAGATTTGAAGTTCGAATGAGTCAGAGTGCCTTTAAAAGAATATCGTAGCAAGCTTCGATCGGATTTGTCCGAGTCAGTGCGTTCAAAGAACCGCGGCGAGTCGGACAGACAATCGGAGTTGCGGAAGAGGAATTTTTAAACTCGATACACGACGGATTCCAAATTTCAAAATCATCTTTCCCTTTGGATTTTCCTTGAATTGTGTTTGATGGATATTTATGATGAAAAATTCATCGTTCGCGGAATATTGACGAAATTTGATACACACATACACACACAGATAGTCTGGGATTGATAACTGCGACTTGTCAATCAGTTTATCACTTTGATTAGACTTAAACTCTGTGCTCCGCGGTTCGCGTGCGCGCGTGTGTCGCGTTATCGATCTCACCTGATGGAACAACACCTGGACGCGTCACTAGTTAAATATCCGTAATCCCCAGGACGATATTCACCGAGGAATGATGAGCCACAGGTCGCACAGTGCAGCGCCCATGGACTCGAGCCTGCGGTACCGCGGAAGGTCTCAAAGTCCCACCGGTCATCGCTCTCTGTCTCCGCCGGAACACAGATCCATGCCCTACTTGCACGGTTACGTTCCGCCCAGGTACGTAGCGTATGATTATTTATCGACGACCGAACCGAGTGAATAATCAAACGAAAAGAAGAAAAAAGAAGGGAACAAAATGAGGACGTTCGGTTTTCACGGAAATTTCAGATTCAGTTCGAGGTCGGCGACAGCTACCCCAACCGGTAGTCCGAAGAAGAGACAACTGCCCCCGATCCCGGTGGCTCTGAAGGAAAAGGCTGCCCCGGATCTCGAGGAACGTGCCAGACTCATAAGGCACCGCAATAGGCAGGTGCACACCACGTACAGGAGCACGGGCATCGGAGGTGATTTTCCCTATTTTTCCTATTTTTCTCTCGATTTCGCTTGTCCTGAAGAGGGGGCGAATGGTGAGGGAAGGAGAGAGGGGGAGGGTGGAGTTATTAATTCGAAAGTTCTCGAATACCTCTCGCGATATGAGAACGGTAATGGAACCTCCGTGGAAAATCCGCGCTGCTAATTGACCCTGTTTCCGAAAATTCTCGGCGGCGACGAACTTTCCAACAGAACGGTTATCGAAGGATGGGTGCCGCGCGTGTAAAATTCGACGGTAAATTTCGCAACAGCCTCGCGCGCCAACCACGTAGTTTTGTTTCACAGTACGTTGGCAATCTTGCGACCCGTTCGTTCGGAAACGAATCAGAAGATACTACGGATCAGGACCGGGTTGATTCTGTAAATAAAATCTGTGGAGACTGCCGTTCGGCCTCCTGATACATATTCGCAAGTTTACAGACGATCGGGAGGACACGCGCGTCCTTAACGGGAATTATCGTTGGTTTTCCAGGTTGGGAGAAACACTACAGCGGACTGTCGGACTCGGATCTGCTCTCGATAGATCACGATCCGTTGTCGTTGCCGCACAGTCACCTGTACCGAATGCCCAGACCGCGAAGGGGACACTTGAGCCCCGACAAAGACGTACTTGGCGATCTCGGTGACTCCGATATGGAGAGTATAACCTCCGTGACGAGCAGTGCCTTCAGTACGCAATCGGAACAACCATGTGGCTCTAGAGGACTAATGTGAGTATAGCTCGATATCTATTCTACTTTAATATTCGAGTCGATGACCTTGCATTTCAAAAGTCAGTGTACAAAGCAAGACAAGTTCCATAGAGAAGAAATTATCCCTTTAGAGAAGACAGCCATCCACTGTACCATTTTTTTACGTGACATTCGGGTAATTCGTGCTTTTCCTCTTTCCCCTCCCCCCTTCTCTCTCTCTCTCT